AAGTACGAGCAACTTCATTAACCAACTCTGCAACTTCAACACGCTTAGCCTCAAGTTTCGTCTTGCGTTCCTCAATCGAAAGACGTAACTCTTCGAACTGCTTTTCTTTTTCTTCCAACTCTTTTGCTTGCCTGGCCACCGCTTGTCGTGCACGCTGCAACTCATTGGTGGCCCTCCGATGCGCCGTGGTTGGATTACGCAGCTCTTTGATACTACCACGCAATACTTCCAACTTTGACTTGATATTTGACCGCAACTCATCAAACTCCTCGCCTGCAGGGACCTTCTTGAGCGATTCCTCCAAATCATTAACCTGCACAACCAATCGACCTCTCTTCGCATCGTCGGACCCAGGGTCGGCCTGTTGCGCAGCTTCAGCAGCTTCACGGTCACGAGAAACTTGATCCTTATACCAAGGTGCTCGCTTAGTTTTTTCCCTCAGGCTTGTCAGACTTGTCAGGCAATTCTCCTCGTCCAAGCGCTTTGACCAGCTCATCCAGTTGCGCCTGTACACGTAGGAGCCCACCCGCTTCATCTTTAACTTGACTTCTTCCTTTACCACGCCCACCTGCATTTCCCGACGACTCGGGCTTGGCGGCGAGCTGCTTCTGGTGCGCCTCATGGGCACGACTGCGGATATGGGCGGGCGCCATGTTGCCGCACCTGCAACGAATACGGCTGGCCCAGTTGTGAGCAGCTCCGCACCGCCCACAAGCCCACTCAGGACGACGAGGACCCAGTAGGACGTCATCGTCATTGGCCATGGAGCGCTCCCGCGGGAGCAGGAGGGGCTGCCAGCAGCTGCTGTCTGCTGGCGGGGCCTCCCGCAGGAGCTGAAGCCAGCAGCAGCGGGTGTCTGCTGGCAAGACTCGAACAACAAGGCCCGCGAACGCGGTGCCGCGCTGAGTTCTCGCGTTCGCAACCCCCTGAATCGCTCGAGGGGGCAGCACGGCTTGAGCCAAAATGGCTACGGCGAAGAGGAGGGAGGAGGAGGAGAAGGAGGAGGAGGAGGAGGAGGAGGAGGGAAGAGGAGGAGCGACGACCCCGAGGATCACCGCTCCGACTCGTCCTCGGGGTCCGCGGTAGAGGTCCAAAAATCCCCCCCCAGAATAACCACCCCGACACGCGAAGTCGTTCAGCCAACGCGCTCAAAGAGGGAATCAAGCAGGGCAGGGCTGTTAGGAAACGCCCAGGGCGGTTTAGGAAACGCCAATGGTCCGGTCCGGGTGTTGTTCCTCCCCTGACACAGTGACCATCCTCGAACCGATCCACATCTCCACTGGCGTGGCCTGGGCCCCACTGGCCAGTGGAGCCTCCCCAGAGGGGAGGTGCAGGCCGTTCCCGTTGGGGCTCCGATGGGCCCATTCCCGACTGGGGGGAGGGGATGCTGGGGCTGAGATGCCGTGGCACGTGGGAATGGGGGTAGGTTAAACCAGGGCTGGACCTAAACAGTGTGTTTCGTTTTCGTTTTGTTTTTCGTTTTCCCTCGTTTTGTCTTCAATCTGCCTGTACTGCAAAACGAAGTTGAACGGAAAACGGCCCACGAAATCGCCAAAACACCGTTCAGGTCCACCCCTGGGTTAAACGATACTGGCACAAGGGGCTCGTCTTCGTCTTGAGAAGGCAGGATCCATCAGCATCAAATCAACACATCGGATCGAGCATTCATTTGCGTCGGATCGGCCTGCGTCGGCACCAAGTTGGAAGCGAATCGGATCGGCGGCGCCAAGATGCACAACTGCGCCATGCGAGTACCGGGCCGCATCGGATCGCCAGAATATCTGCATCGAATCGGGTCGAGCAGGCCCAAACCCATCTCGAATCGGATCGATCGAATTAGAGACCCTACAGATGGCGTCTGAGTAGATGGGGTCGGAGCATGGCGTGCCATCGCCGATGCAGCGTCGATGCATGGTCGATGCATCGGCGATGCATGGTCGATGCCTCGGCGCCGTCGGCGTGGTGATAATCGGGCTCCGCATCAAGCCGCATCGCCGATGCATCGGCGATGCGGCGCGATCGTCCCATCCCCGCCTAATGATGCGGACCCCGTTTGGGAGGCCTGGAGCCATCGACATCGCGATGATGTGGCACGCTGCCGGCTCGAGGGCCCGACCGCAGTCCCATGCCGCAGCAGCGGGGACCGGGTCGATCACGGAGCCGAGAACGGGGCCGAGCAAGGTCGAAGAAAGGAATCGAGGCGGCACCCTTGACTTGGAAGGGTCGACCAACAATCAAACTCGACTGTACGCGAGGAGGTCTGGGGAAAGCCACCAGGACTAAGTCGGGCGGTTCCCCCTACAGGCGGATTTTGGACGACAAATAAAAAATTGTCACACCATGCGCCAAAAATGCTCAAAAATACTATTAAAAAAGAAAATCGTCCCCAGACTAACTTTATTCAACTGTTTTTCAATACTCCTCCTGTAGATGGACAGGCCCGACTTAACTGTACGCGAGGTCTGGGAAAGGCCACCAGGACTGGCAACCACCGCCCGCCCCACGGCGCCACACCGCCGGCTTGGCAGGCCCCGACCGAGAGCGCGGGCCGGCAGCGTCGGGTGACCATCCCAGAAAACCACATCGGCAGCGACGTCCCGAAACCACGTCTCCTCCTCCTCCTCCTCCTCCTCCTCCTCCTCCTCCTCATCCTCATCCTCATCCTCATCCTCATCCTCATCCTCATCCTCATCCTCATCCTCATCCTCATCCTCATCCTCATCCTCATCCTCATCCTCATCCTCATCATCCTCATCATCATCATCATCATCATCATCATCATCATCAATCATCATCATCATCATCATCATCATCATCCTTTTCCTAATCCTCTTTCTCCTCCTCCTCTCCTCCTCTCCTCCTCCTCCTCCTCCTCCTCCTCCTCCTCGCCGATGGGCGGTGGGGGGGCAAATTCGTCGAGCACGTGGCGACATCGGCAGCGAAGTCCGAAGCCACACCCCCGCAGGATCGCAGCCGAGCCGCGGCGTCTCAGCGCCTCGGCGCCCCCGGCTGCCCCCGCCGCTCGGAAGGCTTGCCTCTCTGCGACAAAATCCGCGGCGGCCTCGCACCCGCCCCATCCCCCCCTCGGAGGTCGGCGGAGTGGGGAGGGCCAGGAGGAAGGGGAAGGATGGGGCCGCCCCCCCCCATCCTCCTCCTCCTCCTCCTCCTCCCTCCTCCTCCTTCCTCCTCCTTGCTTCTCCTCCTCCCTTCTGCTTCCTCCTCCTCCTTCCTCCTCCTCCCTCCTTTTCCTCCGCCTCCCATCTCCTCCTCCCTCCCCCTCGTTCTCCTAAGAGTGCCCCAAGAGGGCCAAAAAAAGGATACGGATATAGTCGACACCCCTTGTAGACATCATTTTCCGTGGGCGAAACACAAATCCGCACTAGAACCACGCGCGCTGAGGCTCTAGCGCACCCCTGCCCCTGAGTTCACAGCCGCAGTCCTCGTTCCCGCCTCCAGCCATTCTGAAGTCGTCCTGGAGCTTCTTGAACGCAGTTTGGGGGGTCCCGCTCGGGAGGGTTCCCTGGGATCTCTGCGGGGGCGCTTGGGGGCATCTTGGGACTCTTCTTGGCCCCCAGGGTTGAGCAGGGAACGACCGTCCCGGCATTCCTATAGTCATACCACGAAATGTTCTTAGAACCCCAAAATGTGCTAAGAACAAAAACAATGTTCTTGGAACAGAAACCCGATGTGTTGAAGCAGGACAGTCCCAACCAGAACTGTTCTAAGAACAGATCGTGGGAACCACAAACGGCTCTTAGAACATTGCTTGGTGGGGCGATGGGCGAGCCGGGACGCTTCGCCACTGCTTGACAAGGGGGGCCTCCGGGCGCATCAAGGGGGCTTCTGGAGGGCCGGCTGGCGATCCTGGGGGCCCGCTGGGCCCGGAGAGCCGAAAACGAGCCCGAGACACTGGGGGCTCAATTCGGTACCCACGGGGGGCACTCCAGCATTGTGTGTAGATGTCTAACACGGTTTAGGACAGCATGTCTTGACGTATATGAGTATGTCAGCAGCCTCGCGGGCCTGGCCTCTGGGCTGCGACCCCGCGGATACGGGGGCGTGCCTTCGCCGATGCCCCGCGCGGAACGTATCTGTGCGACCGAGTATCCGCAGGATCGCGCCCCGGAGCTCGAACCTCGACGACGCGAACTCAGACACCTCGGGACGATCTTGACAGATCCACCGCCTGCCGAGGCCCTCGAGCATCGGACCCCCCAGGCGGTGGTTCTGGACAACCTGTTCCCCGCCTCGGCTATGATAAGCGTCATGGGCAAATGTTCCACCACCACTTCCATAATGTAGGACGGAGGGCAAGGGAGGATGAGGAGGTCCTCCTCCTCCTCCTCCTCCTCCTCCTCCTCCTCCTCCTCCTCTTCGCGGCCCCGGGGGTCCCGAGTCCGAGGGGAAGTCCGGGGCCGAGCGGGCGATGCACGCCCGCACCCGCGCTCGCCCGCGCCCGCCCTCGCCCACGCGAGCGGCCGCCGCGACTAAGCCAGCGAGGGCGGTCGGCGCCCCTCCAGGCGCTCCGCGACCCCCAGCCGCCCCTCCGCGGCCTCCGGCCGCGGCGCTCCTCCTCGGCGCTCTCCTCCTCCTCCCCCTCCCCCCCCTCCTCCTCCTCTTCCTCCTCCTCCTCCTCCTCCTCCTCCTCTCTCCTCGTGCTCCTGCTCCTCCTCCTCCTCCTCCTCCTCCTCCCCCTCCTCATCCTCCTCCCCCTCCCCCTCCCCCTCCCCCTCCCCCTCCTCCTCCTCCTCCTCCTCCTCCTCCTCCTCCTCGTTTTCTTCTTCTTATTATTATTCTTCCTCCTCCTCCTCCTCCTCCTCTCCTCCTCACCCTCCTCCCCCCTCCTCCTCCTCCTCCTCCCCTCCTCCTCCTCCTCCTCCTGCTCCTGCTCCTGCTCCTCCTCCTCCTCCTCCTCCTCCTCCTCCTCCTCCTCCTCATCCTCCCTCTCCTGCCTGTGGTCGTGGGGGGGCAAGACGGGACGGGCGGAGCCCCCGCGCATCTCCACGGCGAGCTCGCCCGAGGCTTGCAACTGGGGGGGCGCGCGCTCGCCGTGCGCCCGTCGGGTGCGCAGGAGGTGGGGGCAGGCGAGAGGAGGGAGAGGCGATCCTCAGGTCGGGCATGTCCCCCTGCAGGCGGGGCTTGGACGAAAAATCAAGATTGCTCCAAAAATGCCCCAACATGGCAAACAAGAATCAAAAAATCGTCCCCAGACTATTTCTGACTGTCTTTTTAAGTTCCTCCTGTAAAGGCAGAGGCCCGACTTAAGACAAGCCAGAGGAAGAGGAGGAGGAGGAGGAGGAGGAGGAGGAGGGGAAGGAGGAGGCGGAGGAGGACGAGGAAGAGGAGGAAGAGGAGGAGGCGGAGGAGGAGAAGGAGGAGGAGGAGGAGGAGGAAGGGGAGGCTGCATCGAGCCGCGAAGTCGGGTCGGCTCGGAAACGAAGCGCCTCGTCAGGCCCACCGTGCGGGGAGTGGGATCGAAAGCGGAGGGCTGCGCCCCTGCTCTGGCTGGCCCTGGCCGCTCCCGATGAATGGAGCCGCATCGACTCGAGTCGGAACCTCGGAGGGATCGAAAGAGGGGGATAGCAAAAGTAGGGTAGAGAATTAGCTCACGAAGCTGATCTTCCCAGCGCCTCCCGGCGCTGGGAGGCGTCCATGTATCGAGGAATGGGCCTGGCGGCGGGGTCGAAACCAGTTGCATGCAGCAGATTGCGTAACCCCCCCTTTCCCTACGCACCCGTCGTCCGGCTCGAGAAACGCGGCCCCACCTGGCGAATCGCATCGAATCGAATCGGACCGTAGGCGGCCGTGCTAGTTGCGTTCTCGCCATAACTGTCATCCTGCCCTCCCGCCCATCCCTTCTCATTGCGCTGATGAGTCTCTTTTTCCGCCGACGAGTGTCATAGCGGACCTGGAACCCCCAAATGCGGGCAGGACTTCTGTCCGTATCCACTGCCGCTTAGAGTTTAGGGCTCCCTCCCCCAGAAACCCGAGGCGCACTGCACTTGGATGAGAAACTGGCCCCTGGAAACTCGAAGCTTGCGGCGCCCCTTCCAAGAAAATCCGCGGCGCCGCCACAGGATATGGATATAGGTACTACCCGCACAAAGGGGGACCGAGAATTCAGGGGCCTCGTGCATATCCCGGTCCTCTCGCAGCTTCGACGGCATCAGGGAACTGGGAAGCGCAAAAGCAGGAGCAAGAAGCAGGAGGAGAAGTATGGCAAGTTCGTGTGGTGACGCACTCGGCATTGTATATTATGTTACCGCGTGGACCGTTCACCCTGAAACGTCGCGGCTTTCCGATCGCTTAGATAGTTCCATCTCCGGTCACCAGCGGCGTTCAACCTGGAACGCCAGCGCTGACGTCGCCGCCGCGTCGTCACGAAACGAACCCCACAGCCACCCGAGAGCCGCCTTGGGAGGCGCGCGTCGCATCCGAGCGCGTCCGCCATGACCTGGAGCAAACACAACATACTTGAGGACCTTGCAGGCCCCAAGGAACATTCAAAGGTCTCGATCCTCGGACCTCGAGGATGTGAGGGGAGGCTAGCGTCAAGTCGGGCCTGTCCCCCTACAGGGGGATTGTCGACGAACAATAAAACATACTCCAAAAATGCCCCCAAAAGGTCAAGCAATACCAACAAAAATAATCCCCAGACTATTGTTGCATTATTTTTTTGCTATTTTTGGGGTATGTTGTATTTCTCGTCGAAAATCCCCCTGTAGGAGGACAGGCCCGACTGAAGGCTAGCGGGGGGGGCGGAGGCGACGGCTGCGGCGGCGACGAGGCGACCGCGAGGCGGGGATCTCTACCCCTCGCAACCGCCAGGGGGCCCTCGCCAGGCGGGGGATCTATGCGTGGCTTTGGCCCTCCGAGCGTCATGACATGTCCACCGACTGCCAGGGTCCTGGAATCGTGAGGAGGGAATAGGGGAACAAAAAGTGGCATAAAAATAAAAACTCTGAGGTCCGCGCGGATTTCTCGGATCGGCGCTAGGGCCCCCCGGCGGCGCCTCCGGCGCCGCCCCTAGCGCGCTCCGCGCGCCAGGGAGGGGGGTCCAGCGCCGATCCGAGAAATCCGCGCGGACCTCCGAGTTCTTGAGTTCATGGCACTTTTGTGCCCCTGGTGTAGCAGTACAGGTCCAGCTCTCCCAGCCATCATCCTCCCCCCCTCGTCCTAATTAGAAGCAGCGAGGAGGGAAGGGGGAGGAGGAGGGCCAATAGAGAGCTGGACCCGTGCTGTCCTCCTCCTCCTCCCAAGAACATCGATCCCCCAGGCGGCGGCCATGGATCCACCCCCGCGCCGGAGAGACGGCACGCCGACGACCCGCAGACCCGTCACAAGGGTGCGCCGGGGGCCAGAACTCCGAGGCGGGTCCGGCCGTGGCCGCCCGGGCACGCCCCCCCCCCGAGGAGGCCCAGCGTCAGGGGCGACGACGGGGGTGAACAGCCCAAGAGAGAACAGTCCATGTATCCACAAGGGCTTCCAACTTCGCGCTTCGCGCTGCGCGAAGCGCGAAGTGCGAATAACTTCGCGCTCTCGGGCCGCCTCCCTGGCCCAGGAGAGAAGAGGAAGATGAGGAGGAATCGGAGCCGAACCGCGAAGCGCGAAGCGCGAATAACTTCGCGCCCTCGAGGGCGCCCTTGCATCCAGGGGCACCGCTGCTCCATGCCTGTGGCGAGGCTCCTGGGCCCATGCGTGCAGTGCCCGCCACTGGGCTATTCTTAGGTCGGGCCTGTCCCCCTGCAGGGGGATTTTAAAATTAAAAAGTCCCCCCCAAAAAATGTCAAAATATATTCCAGAAACAGTCTACCTGGGGACTCTTTTTTGGGTATTGTTTGACCTTTTTGGGGCATTTTTGAGGGTATGTTGTATTCTTCGTCGACAATCCCCCTGTAGGGGGACAGGCCCGACAGAAGGCTCTTCCCCACCATCGTCGCTTCCGACGGGGCGGCTCCCGTGCACCTCGAGCCTCGGGCCACGCGGGGGGGAGGCGAGGGAGGCCCGTCGCGCGAGCGGCAGGGGCCAGGAGGCGGCGGCGGAGAGGGGCCTCGGCCTCGGCAGCGCGTCGGCCTCCGGAAAGGCCCTCCTCGGGCCACGGGGCAGGCAGGCCTGGATCGGCGGGAGAGGGGTACGAGGCGAGCTAGGTGCGCTCGCGTCATGTCTGACGTCCTACCCCTCTCTCCCATCCCTCACCATGGCGTAGAGCCCCTCTCTACTCTCACAGTCGGATGCCGAGCAGGGGCCAGGAGCGGGGGAGGAGAGGGGCTCGGCTCGGCAGCACGTCGGCCTCCGAAGGCCCTCCTCGGGCGACGGGGCAGGCAGGCCTGGAGGCGGGAGAAGGGGTACAGTCGGGGCGCTGACCTGAGGAACCCGCCCCCTTTTTCCCAAACGTGGTACTTCGATTTCCCATGGAAAGCCGCAGGGAAGCCTGATGCAAACTGCACAACAATCAAGGAACACCGAGCCCCTCCCAAACAAAAAAGGTTCCTTCTTCAGCGCCCCGACTGTACAGGTGCAAAGGGGTGTGGTGCTAGTTCCGTGCAAGGGGGAAGCTGGCGATGTTGCTCATCGCAGATCGCATCGCCAGTTCCGCGACTGATACTATACTTACGTCGGGCGTGTCCCCCTACAGGGAGATTTTAAATGGTCAACGATGGGGTCCAAAAATTGTCCAAAATGGTCGACAAATCGCCCCCAGACTATTTGTTACTATTCTTGACCAGTTCCCCCTGTAGAGGGACAGGCCCGACTTACCACCATACCCCTTTCTGCCACACCCCTCTCCGACTTCCAGAATCGAAGGCGGCGGCTCGGGAGGAGGGACGGATCCCCGGCGAGGGGTCCAAACCTCTCTGTTTGAGCAGGGGCCGTCCGACCCCGCATTCCCGTAGGCCAGCCACGAACGGTTCTCGGAACCCGAAAGTGGTCTAAGAACACAAGCAGTGTTCTCAGACCATAGGCCCGGTGTGTTAAAGCAAGACAGGCCCAGCCAGAACCGTTCTCAGAGCATTCCGTGCAGACCACAAGAGGTTCTTAGAACATTCCTTGATGGGCCCATAGGCGAGACAGGGCGCTTCGCCACTGCTTGACTCTGGGCCCATGTCGCGAACAACGGTCATGACGTGGAGGGTCTGGGGACAGGGCAGTTTTTAATACATAGGAGTTAAAAACATATGGGATGTTTTATACATGGTTAATGTATAAATGCATCTATGCATAAACCCATCGTTGTTTTTAATACTAAATCCCTGCATTTTAAATACATGATCCGCACGCGGAACATGTATTAAAAACGGCTCTGGAAGCTGAACGTCAAACACACGAGCAGTAAAAATGGGCTTGCCTCCCGTGAGCGACCATGAAAACCGGGCCTCGCGCGAGATGGCGCAGTGAGCGACCCTGCGCGGTGGCCTGCGCGGGCCGCCAGCGCGGTACGCCACGCTGGAGCGAGGGCGCTCTACGCGCGACCTTACGCGAGCAGCTTGCACGCCAACATAAACATAAACTTCTGGTGTTACGCGCGGTTTCGTGCGTGGTTTTTTCGCCAAATGATCAAGGATGCTCCTCGATGGTCCTCGCCGAAGGAACAATGCACACGTCCGAGCGATGCCAAGACCACATAAACATACACTTGTGGTGCTCCGCGCTGATTTCTTGGATCTGCGCTGGGCCCCTCTCCCTGGCGCGTGGAGCGCGCCAGGGGCGGCGCCGAAGGCGCCGCCAGGGGGGGGGCCAGCGTGGATCCAAGGAGTCCGCGCGGGACGCAAAACATTTTTTTGGCGTGCTTCCCTGTTCGGTTACACGCCAAGTTCAGCGCAGACGGCCCTGCTTTGTTGCGTCGCTCACGTGGCGTCGCAATGCCGCTTCACGGCTGCGCGCCGGAGACGCCGCCGGGGGGGAGCCCAGCGCGGATCCAAGGAATCCGCGCGGAGCGCCAGAAGTGTATGTGTATGGCGTGTTTTCTTCTTCGATGTCTTGCGTCGCCCGGGTGGCGTCGCCATGCCGCTTCACGGCTGCGCGACAGGCGGCGGCGGACGTGGCGATCGCAGTCTTGCCGAAGAGCTCCGGCGGCGCGCGAGGAGTGCCCCCGAGCGAGGCGCGTGGCCTCCGGAGAGCGCGGCGTTTTCGGGGGCGCCGGGAGGCCAAGGCTTGGGAGCGCAAGACCCTGCGGTCGCATCGTGCTCAGTCATCTGAGAAGGTGTCCTGGAAAACACAGAAAAGCACGTGAACAGGAGTCCAGGATGCCCGATTGCCTTATACAAATATATAGTTATGCATGTATGCATACGTATATATATATATATATATAGATATATGTATTTATATATATATATATGTATAGGCATGTGCATTGCATATATAGATTCATGATACCAGAGAAAACCAATCATGGGGCTACAGGGCTATACGGCTAATTATAGGGCTATCGGGCTATTGAGTTATAGGGCTATAGGGCTATAGAGCTGTAAGGCTATAGGGCTATAAGGCTATTGGGCTATTGGGCTATAGGGCTATAGGGCTATATGGCTATTTGGCACCCCCGGGCACCCGGGCACCCCCGGGCACGCCCGGGCACCCGGGGCACCCCCGGGCACGCCCGGGCACCCGGGCACCCGGGGACGCGGGCACCCCCGGGCACCCGGGGACCCGGGCGTGCGGCGAAAATCGGCGGCAAACCTAACCTAACCATATGAATCCACTAGGACCCCTACAGAGGCAAGCTCTGATTGGGGAATAAAAAAATGAAAATATAATATGGATGTTCGTATTCTCTGCCCTTCCCGCATTTTCCCAAAATGTGTTCCTGGTAATCTACGTTTATTGGTGTCTGTGTCTGTGTTTGCCTCGTGACATCTGGCAAGAGCGCCCAACATCGAATCACATAATTCGGATCGCAGATGGCTTGCGGAAATCGGCAGGCAAGTCGGGAGAAGTCGACTCGGCGGAAATCGGCAGGCTAGTAGGCACTCCATTGAGAAACCGAGACAAAGACCATAATACAATGTCGAATCAAATCGAAATCGGAATCGACCGAGATCGAATCGAAATGAGTCGGATGAGTCGAAATGAGCCCTGTCTGGTGGCCCTGCCTGGAAATCTACGTTTCTTGGGGTCTGTGTCGATGTTTACCCTCCTGGCATCGGATGGCGGCGCGCAAACGGGGATAGGGGGAGGGGGGAGGGCTTCTTAGAAGGAGTCTGCTTCTTAGAAGGCGCCGGCCCTACATTTTTAGAGAAGGCCCGCGCAATTTAAGAAGCAGGGGTGCTTCTAAGAAGCATCCCCTCCTCCGCCTGCCCCCCCCTGTGTGCGTGGCTCAACTGTGCCCGCACCAAATGCGCGATGAAAAGAGCTGGGTCTTGCGCCAGATGACATAGCGACCTTGCGCGGCGACTTACGCGGGCCGCCAACGCGGCACGTTACATTCGAAGCGAGGGCAATTACCCGCCACCTTACGCATGCAGCTTTCTCTGGATGGCACAACAATCGGCGGGGGCGACTGACCTTCCGACGGAGCGTCCCCATCCCCCCACACCCCACCGCCCCCCAACGCGCGTCCAAAACTCTTCCCACCGCCATCGGGGGCGCGCAATCATGGATTAGCTATCCATGGATTTGGCGCGCGGTCGCCAATTCCATGGATCGGGGGAGGTGCCCTCCCCAAAATGCGGCGGGTGCCGCCTCGTGCGGCGGCGGAAATCCGCGATTCCCACACTGGAAACGGGACCCGTCGCTAATAAACGCCCCCTTGATGCATGTTTGCGATCGCCTGACCCCCACTTTGGCCCAGGAACTCGAGCTTCAAAGCTGCTAACCCCCCTCAATCCTTCCGCCCATCAACCCTCGCCACGAACCAAAGGGAGGGGGGGATTATCATGCCATCCAGAGTACGCGAGAAATGCCGGTCGGTGAAAGACGAGCCATTCGCGTTGCGCCGCTCAGGGATTGGCAGACGAATCACGGTATAAAATTAAATTTTCCGCCGCCTGGGACGCCTGCCCCGGGCAGGCTGGACAGTGTATACCCTTTTGGTGGCACGTCGGGGTAGAAACTTTCCAGCCGCCGTGGGGCAGGCATCCCCGACGGCGAACAAGTCTTTGTCTTGTACGGTTCTTCGCCGGCTGGAAAGAGCTGCGTGCACGAGGGAAAAAAGCCCCACTCGCGTGCAGCCCAGGCCCTATCCCCGACACGAGGAGTAGGAGGAGGAGGAAGAGGAGGAGCAGGAGGAGGAGGAGGAGGAGGAGGAGGAGGAGTGGGGAGGAGGAGGGAGAGGAGGAGGAGGGAGGAGGAGGAGAGGGAGAGGAGGAGCGGAGGTGGAGGAGGAGAGGAGGAGGAGGAGGATGAGGAGGATGGGGAGGAGAGGAGGAGCGAGAGGTGAGGAGGGAGGAGGGAGGAGGAGGAAGGAGGAGGAGGAGGAGGGGAGGAGGAGGAGGAGGAGGAGGAGCGAGGAGCAGGAGCAGGAGCAGGAGCAGGAGCAGAAGCAGGAGGAGAGGGAGGGGGAGGAGCAGGGGGCGCGGCGCGGGGGCCGCGCCTTTGACTCGATCTCGGTGGTGAGCGCCTCGATCTCGGCCGTCTTCGCGGCGCTCAGGGCCTGCGCCGAGACCACGGCAACGGCGACGTAGGGAAGAGGAACACAAATAGGTGAACAAAAAGTGACATAAACGTAAAAACTCGGAGGTCCGCGCGGATTTCTCGGACCGGCGCTGGACCCCCCTCCCTGCGGCGCGGAGCGCGCCAGGGGTGACGCCAGAGGCGCCGCCGGCGGGCCCCAGCGCCGATCCGAGAAATCCGCGCGGACCTCCGAGTTGTTATGTTTATGTCACTTCTTGTTCCCCTAACAAACCACTGGCCATCGCTCGGACGTCCATGTCCTGTGTTGTTTGTTGGTTTCGTGCGTGGTTTTTCCGCCAAGTGATCAAGGATGCTCCTCGATGGTCCTCGCCGAAGGAAAGATGCACACGTCCGAGCGATGCCAAACACCACATAAACATAAACTTATGGTGCTCCGCGCGGATTTCTTGGATCCGCGCTGGACCCCCCTCCCTGGCGCCGCCCCGGGTGGCGCCGGAAGCGCTGCCAGGGGGGCCCAGCGCGGATCCAAGAAATCCGCGCGGAGCGCCAACAGCTTATGTGTATGTGGTATTGTCTTCTTCGAATGTTAGGAATGTGGTGCTTCAGACGCCGAATTCACGCAGAAATCGTAGGAGAACACGAACAGACGCTCTCCTACCAGGGGGTTGGCCACGAGCCCCCCCCCACAATACCGAAACCTGCGTCGCCGCTGCCTACACCACCGTCGGCGTGTCTAAGGCTGCGGCGGAGAGTCGCCGTGGCGGTGCGCACAAGGGGGTGGAGGGAGGGGGAGGGTTTCTTAGGAGAACACTTCTTAGAAGGCGCCAGCCTTACCATCTATAGAGAAGGCCCGCGCCTTCTAAGACGCAGGGGTGCTTCTAAGAAGCCCTCCCCCCTCCCCCCACCCCCCTCTGCGCGTGGCTGATCGCCGCCGCCCCGCGGCCGCGGCGCTGTCGCGGTCGTCGCCGCTGCCGGCGCTGTCGCCGTCGTGGTTGTGGTCGTCGAGGTTGGCGCGTTCGCGGTCCAGTACGGTCGGACTGCCCACGGGGGTACACTGAGGGCCCAGACGCGAGCGGTCGGCGCCGTCGCCGTCGTGGCCGTGGTCGTCGATGTTGGAGCGCCCGTGGTCCAGTACGGTCGCGCTCTCGCCATCGCTCGGACGTCCATTCCACGTGTTTTTTTCGGTTTCGTGCGTGGTTGATTCGCCAAATGATCAAGGATGCTCCTCGATGGTCCTCGCCGAAGGAAAACATGCACACGTCCGAGCGATGCCAAGCGCTGGACGGGGAGAGGGCACGCGAGCGGGCACCAGGCCCCTCCGAGGGCCGCCCTGCCCCAGGAAAGGGCAGAGGGCGCGGGGCGCAACCGCGCACGCCGGGCACGTCGGGTGCCCATGGGTCGGAAGAAGTACAGGGCAGGCTTTCACACGTAGGATGTTTAAACACATGGGATGTTCAATCCGTAAATAACGAAAACAACTAATGTAGGATTTAGAACATGTTATAATACATCAGAGTGTCAAACACATATGATTGGGATATATGTATTAGTACAGGGCAGGTTTTCATACATATATTCATCAATGCATGAACAGGTGCATGAACTCATCGTTGTTTTTAATACTCAATCCCTGCATGTTTAGTACATGATCCGCACGCGGAGCATGCATTAAAAACGGCACTGTATGCAGAAGCATGAAGTGGGAAGACGTTGACAGTAGATTGGGTTCCGTCCGCCCCCTGAGGAGGACGGAGAAGGTGAAGCCACTCGATCGTTGAAGTAGGAAGGCGCCTCAAGTAGACTGGAATCCGAGAATCCAGATAAACCTACTCTCAGGGACCGATGGGTACCCCTGACCTGGCAGGGCCTACCTGCGAATCGGACTCGACGGTATCTGTGGACGCCCCCAGGCCTCTCTGCGCCACGGGAGAGGCCCCTGGCAGGCCGCGGGAGGCCCTCGGGGGGGCGTCGTCCAGGGCAAGGCTGGACCTGAACGTTATTTTTCGTTTTGTTGTCCTGTTGTTTTTCGTTTTGCTCTACCTGTTTCCCTGTACCTCCCTGCCCAAACGAAACACACAGCACAGCCGAAGTCCAGCAAACCAGCGCTTAGGTCCAGCCCTGGTCCAAGGGTTCCCGAGGACCTCCAAAACATCTGCTCGAGGGTGACATGCTCGCGTCGTGGAAAAATCAAGGCGGGAAACTTCTCGCTGTTTTCGGCCTGTGCGGGCCCTCGCCGGGCCCCGAAACCGTCAGAAAAAGACTCTCGATGAGAAGAAATGGCCTGCGGTAACGGATCGGAACTTCCGGGGACCTCACATGTCTAGAGGTGGCAGAACCACCCTGGTCGTCTGAGTTCTCGCTTCGCGCTGCGCGCTGCATTACGCTGTTTTCCACCATGGAGCATCCTACCACCCCTTCCGGCTGTAG